CTTCACTGCCAGAGAGGTGCATACAGACAGTCTTGGGTCAAGCGAAGACCATCATCCCGCATTTGCAGGATAGAGCGAAGATCGTGTTTGATGAGCTGCGTGTGTTTCAATCATGGGCTTTAGTTCATGCGTGTTGGCTGCTGAACAGATATCATGTCAAAAGTGCAACAGGTACGACTGCCTACCTGTCAGTGAAGGGCCGTCATACAAAGACCGAGTGTGCTGCTTTGGTGAGACCGTTCACGGCTTAGACGCACTTCAGGCCAAGTGCGAGTCACAATGGCGACGAGGCGCATGGCTAGGCCAGGGCAACATGGATGATGATTTGGTGCTGGTATGTGCTGGTGAATGACAATGAGATCGTCAGATGCAAGTTAATGAGGAAGACTGGCAAGCATTGGGGTGGTGAACTTCTAGTGAGCGCAGTTGTCGGGCCTTGGGACATGAAGAGAGGAGGGCGTACCAAGGTTGAGACTAAAACCATTTCCTGCACCAGTGCCTGAGTTGCTTTCAGATGTCCCACCAAATACTGAGGGAGCATCACGTGCCTCAAGAAGTGAAGTCACAAGATCTGGAGGCTGATGATTTCTTCAAGTATGATAGAGAGCATCCAGATAAAGATGTTGAGATTGAGGCCGAAGCAACAAGACCAGAGCAAGCCCTTCAGCTAGAGTTCCACAATTTGAAGCCGCGTCAAGTCCAAAGAGGTCAGCCGAAGAGATCGATGATCGAGCAACAGTGGAGAGACAAGGGAAGGTGTGACCATTTCCAATTGAAAAAGAAAGCAGAGGGTAAAGAAGGAGGAAAGGCCAAGATAGTTCACTGACCCAGACACGGCCATCCCAGAACCAAGCACTAAGGCAGCTAGGACTTCATCTTCCGCAACCACTGAGGAGAGTTAGTAAAGACCAAGAGAGGCAAACAAGAAGAGCTGAAGAAGTAGAGATCGATGTTGAAGATGATGATGACGTTCAGGCACAAGAAGACGAGGATGCCTATGACTGGAATCAAATTACTTCCACGCCGATGGATGCAATTCTTGGTGAAGAAGATATGAGGAAGCGAGGATTCCACTATGAAGGAAGTGGTCCACCACAGGTGAATTCAGATGAACTTCAAGCACTAGATCAGCGAGCAATGTTGTCGGAAGTTGATCGCCTGAATGACCTCACGGTCATTGCCAACCTTGAGTTCAGGACAATGTCGACGAGGCGATGAAGCTGGACACTAGAATGGTGTTTGACTGGCGATTCAGGTCAGGTTGTTGGGTCCGTCGTGCACGGCTATAGCACGAGAATTCAGAAGTGGTGCTGCAAGTAACATCGACGCGTTCAGCCCAACTAGCCCACTTTCGTTCATCAAGCTGCTGGTGTCATTGAGTGTGACCATGGGTTTGATGATTTCGGTCATGGATATCTCCGACGCCTTCCTTCAGTTGGTTCAGAAAGATTTTGTGGTGATTCATGGGTCAGAGAGATCCTTGGTCAGAAGATTTGACCTATTGGAAGTTGCTGAGGTGTCTTCCAGGGCAGAGAAATGCCGCACTTGAGTGGCATCATCAGGCATGAGAAAGGACGACAATTTCTGTCAGCTCGCATCGACGACATGATTTTGGTGGCTGAAGAGGAAGGCCACTACAAATTCATCGAGCATTTCTCTAACATCCTCAAACTGAAGGCCGGTGGTTTTCTTCGGCACGTCAGTTCCAGGGACGTTGTTCGCCCTCAAGAGGAAGTTGGCCTTTGATGAATTCAAGGAGGACGGTGGAGATTGCCGCAAGCAGCCAAATATGTGCCCACGTTGGTCAGTATGCTGGCGGCGACGTGGTGTACCGTCTGGATGTGTTTGATGCAACGCAGTTGTGAGTGATGAGGAGCGCTTGAGTCCAGAAGAGGGCAAACTGTTCAGGAGTGCACTTGGACCATGCTTGTACTTGAGTCAAGAGCGCGTCGACGTCGAATCATCGACGTCCACAAAGACCGCGATGGCTGCAATCAAGAAGCGCACATCGTAGCTGCAGACAACACAGGACATGGTGCTGAGGGTTCGAGAAGAGTTAGAATCAGAGCAGCGTGTTTGGCAGGTGGAAGCACCTATCATGCGAGCATGTGAGAAAAGGGAGCCGCGCGCACTGTCTCCAGCTTTTCGGTGGCAGTGATTGGGCATCTTCAAAGTCATCCAGGAAGTCGACCAGTTCAGGCCCGATCCCAACAAAAGAAAACCTTGCAGACCTCAACGCAAAGGATTTGACAAGCGAGAGGAGAAAGCGTTTGGCAAGACATTGTTTTGCACAGTGACAGCTGTCAGCCGGCCAGCATTCCTGGAGTCCACCGAATTGTACAGATGCTCATGGTTGCAGGTCTTTTGAAAGGGCGCTCACCAGTTGAAGGCAGTTGTGAGGGCATGAGGAGCACCGTCGTCCAGAGCATGTGGTGCATTTACTTGTGGAGCTCTACAGTACTTTTCTTGCCGTTTGTGATGTCAGTGACTGTGTTTTGGATTCAGAAGATCAGAACTTCACTGGCCTATATCGCATAGCATGGCGAGAGATGAGGGCAGAACTCAGCCTGAGAAGAAGCGAAGACCCACTACGGCCAGCGGATGAAGATGGAAATCAAGAAGGTGAGGAAGAAGAAGGAAATGAAGATGATGACGAATTCCCTGATGGTGGAGGACCGGATGATGGAGACACTATTGATGGATACAACTATTGATGGATACATATATGGAAGATTTTGCAGTACACGCAACTCATTCTCATCATCCTCTTCCTTTTCTTCTTTGCTTTGTTCATCTGGCGCTTCCATCGCGTGCGCCTCTTCTGGCTGAAGCACTCTTTCTGGTAGATCCTCAGCCTCTGCGTCTCCTCTTGAGCTTGTTCCCCGACCAGCTGCTGCGTCTCCAGTTGACTTCTGCGTAATCCTCCTTTTTGGGGTAGACGATAAGCAAAGTTCATCCTCAAGGAGGATGGAACCGAGTTCGTCTTCAAGAGGACCAGAAGGTGAAACAACGGAGAACAATGAAGCGAATATTTACAAGCCAAGTCTTTTAGATAGAGTGGCAGCAAGTCTTGTGAGCTATGGCATGGATCCGGCAAACTATGCAGAGAACAGAATGATGCGACTTGGTTCGTGCTTGGCTCGATGAGAACGCTGGTTATTTGGGGCTTGGCAGGAATCCAAAGTGATCCACAATAATTTAAAGAGATGAGGGCGATTATAATCAATGAAGGGCATGGACGCATGGACCTGAGGCTGCTCTGACCTTAGCATGCCGCAACTTGAGTGAACACGTCAGAAGCCTTGAGTACCAACCAGATCCCGACCTGAGAAGGGATATTCGGTCTGCAAGGACCACGCCTCACTACTTGCAATATTACTATGTGGCAGGCAGGGTCCTTTGGCCTACCGCGCGGGGACCATAACTTTCAACAAACGGATTGAGAGCGGACCTTTTCACCGACAATGAGACGTGTCCAGGAGGAAGCGACGAGATAGATGATGAGGAGGAAGCAGCAGAAGAAGAAGCAGGAGGAAGAAGAAGAAGAAGAAAAAGAAGTGATGGAGGAGACAGAAGAGCAGAGGATTGGCGCAGATCGAGGAAAGTGAAGATCTGATTGGAACTACGACCATGTGGAGCTTGAAGAAACAGAAGAAGAGTACGAAGTGACGAAGTGGAAGAAGATGATGAGCGCAATGTCGTAAACGACGATGACAAGGAGAATGAAGGTGGATGAACTCAGAATGTTCAATGAGTTGGCGAAACGACTGCAATCAGTGCTTGTGGCATGAAATGAGCTGCGGAACGGAGTGAGGCCAGCCAAGTTTCACATGAAGGATTGAAATGAAAGTCTGGAAGGTAGAATCCAGCGACAAACCGCTGAATTCTAAGGCGGGGTGTCGCAAGTTGGCGTGGCCGGCGCGTTTTCGTTGGGGTCCATGCTGGTGTATCTTTTTGGCAGGTTGCAAGTGGAAGAGGTGCGTGTGTGCACTTTGGAGCTTGGGTGCTGGCCGCTGCTTCGGAGCTTGGGTGCTGGTGCTGCTGCACTGCAGGGCGCTGCTGCCAGATGTGTGGCCGTGCGCGCTTGGAGCTTGGGCGTGCCGTTGATGGCAGGGTGCGCTTGTGGAGCTTGAGTGCTGGTGCCGCTGCAGGGTGCCGCCACTAGATGTTTATGGCAGTGCGCGCATTGGAAATTGCGTGCTGGTGCCACCGCAGGTGCCATGGCAATCTGTTGGGGGTTACGTGCTGGTGCCCCTGCAGGTGCTGCAGCTAGATGTTCGTGCCAGTCAGCGTGCGCTTGTGGAGACTGGGTGCTGGTGCCGGCGGTGTGCGCATTGGAGCTTGAGTGCTTGTGCCGCTGCAGGGTGTCGCCTCTTTGGCGTGGCCCGCAGAAAGGTCTTGCTAGTTGGGGCCGATGGTTTTTCAGAAATTTTGCTTTGGCCCCTGAACCCAGGTTTTTCACAATTTTTTGTTGGAACCATCGGCCCACTTAGAGTTCATGGGCCCAGGTTTTGATTGAGCCATTCCAGCTGGAATTCTTGGAGCTCTGGAACTCTGTTTCCGTGCGCGCGAACTTCGATGACAACGCAGTGTACTTCGGAACTATCCCCTGATCCCATCACACGGCATGGTTTCTTCGGGATCTTTTCTTCTTTCCGGAACAACCTGAGCAGCAGCACAAATGCCCTTGCATGATGCCAGGAGTGTCCTGATTTCCCTCCTGGAGCACAGCCATCGCCTGCCCTTTCCCATAATGATCGTAATGTTGGGTGGAGTGGGGTTTGGCCCCAAAACTGGAAATGCACGTGCAACTGTGAAACCGCAAAGCATGTTTGTCATCACAATGCCGGTGAATCATGCAACTTTGCCATCCGCAAGGGCTGGGCCAAGTTAAGCATGTTCCCATGATTTCTTGCACCAATTTGTTTGCAGTTGTCACGAGGGGTTCACGCAACCGTTTTCTTGTAATCCTTTTGTGTGGCATCGAATTTGCATAATGCAGCCGTGTCAGGATCTGGGTGGGCCAAGACAAGTAACAACTGAAACATAGTTGTGTAGCGCCATGAGCGAAGCTGCCGAGCCAAAACGTGAGAAACCAGAGGGCTGGGGTGACATAAACTCTGTTTTGGGGGCTCCGCTTGAAAACGTGACCGGCGATGCCTCTTGGATTTCGGTGATTTGCATGTGGCTAACTTTGCCCATCAGTTGCATTCAAGGAATCATCGGTGGCTTGTGCCAGGCTTTCATGGCATTTTTTGTTCTGGGTTGCTATTGCTGCCAGTGCATTCCGCAATGGTTGTGTTGCTCTGGCATGGGTTCTGCTGAATGTGGCCGGCCTTGCATTTTAGCCCCAGCCTGGTGGCGATATGTCATTGGAGGTCTGGTTGCCTTGATTGCAAACAGCAAGAGCCGCTTGGCCCTTTTCATTTGGGAGTGGAAAGCATTTGGCGAGGGCGACCATTACTGGCACGGGGAAGGCTACTGGGCCGTCAAGTACCAAGAGTGCAGTGAGATCACCAAGTCCGAGCAAAAACGGGCTTCGGCTTTTGGCTGCATCCAGGCTTGTGTGCCAGACCTGTTCGCCACAAACATTTTGCTGTTTCTCTCCAACGATGGTCCTGACAGCGAATGGGCCCACATGCGCAGTGCTTTGCACTGCACTTTGTTGGACCGAGGGGCTTCATGGTACATAGAGCGAAGTAAAAAGTTGCGCTCTTTGGTTGCAGCGGAATGGCCAAATCCGCAGCTGACGGATCTCAGTGACACACCACGTGTCCGTTTGATGGTGGCCAAATGCGTTTTCTACATGATGTTTGGGGTTTGGCTGCCAAATGAGGATGCCGAAATCATGCGGGGTTGGCGGGACAATGCGCTGTATTTTGTCCTTCCCAGGTTGGTCCATCGTTTCCTTTTCAACTTTGGCATTCGGAAAGTCAAAAGCCTTCGGGCTAACAGTGTTGCCGTCATTGAAAAGCATGGCTTGGAATCGTTCATTGTTGACATCAATGAGAAGTTACCAGAAAGATACAAGCGCACTCCAGTGGTCAAACTTTGCGATGAGATGATGTTTGCCGTGGGCTTTGCCGGCATTGGCGGAACGTCTGCCTGCTGCGAAACAGTTGGGGCCTTCTTGCAAAGAAAAATTCCTGAGGAAGCCAGTGCACATCTCATCAACTTTGAGAAGTTTCCAACAATAGAATCCATGGTCGAAGCCTTCAAGAATGACCCGCTTTCATACATCAAGGAGGCCTGCCGCATAGACCCGCCGGTGACAAGTGCCACATCAGTGAGCAAAGAAACAAGGGTTGTCACTTTGAAGGGCAGAAAGTACACCATGCCGGAGAACACCTTCCACAATTATACATTGTCAATGGCCAATCGCGATCCAACCGTGTTTGCGAATCCAGATGTCTTTGATCCAAGCAGGACAGAACTAAACATGGCTTTGACTTGGAATGGGGCATTTGGGACGCCAGACGATGAAAAGGTGTATCCTCGGATTTGCCCAGGACGATACCTCTCCCTTGATGTTGCCCTTGCACTTGTCGGCCATGTTGTGGGACTTGATGAGGGCTACAGTTTGCCTTGAATTCTTTCGAAGCCTCACCTTTTTGCGGAAGGTTAATACAGTGAAGACTGTGCCTTCTTCTTTGATCGTGAACGACTCCTCCAGTAAAAGCTGTCAGCAGTTCAGAGGCTTTGCGCCGAGATCTCCAGCCGGCAGCAACAGTAAGGTTGTGTCGAAGCGGCAAAGCCAGTTTTATGCTTCGGCATGGCAAGGTTGTCAGCTGGGGGCTTGGGAACTGACGGAACCACGAAAAAGCCGGAGTGATTTCGTTCCAATTTTTCAATGCAGTCACCATGCATGCATGCATGCATGCAGCCTGGTCAGCCTGGTCAGTAGAGTTTTGATGAATTTGGTTTGCAGCATTTTGGCTCTGGGAGGGTCTTGGCCAGGCAAGGTGCAATGAGGCTAAATTGTGTCAGATGAGTGAGAGAGAGAGAGAACAGTTCAGTAAAACTCCATCTTTAGAGAACTGGGTTTGCAGCAAAGTTGGACTCACTAGCTTTTTTTTTTTCTCACACTGTCGCCCCATGTGCTTGGCTCTTGAGATCTATGGATGCGACAGGTAGCTGGAAACTAAGTTGCACCGGTGGGTGTGCTGTGGCTTTGCAAGCTTTCGACGGCAAACTTGTGCAGCCAATTAGCCTCACACTTGACAGTGGATTCTTGACATGTCCACAAAAGAACAGGATGCATCACTCCAGAACGAATCAGAAGTTTCAGACGAAGAGACCCTACTGAAGCCTTCAACACCTCTATAAATGGTTGGGGAACCAGCTCTAACTTGACTGGTTCAAAGGGGTTGGCCAGAATGAGCCCAGCAAATCATGTGGGGCAAGTGCTGTATGAAGGTGGGTGGAAGTGTGGAACCGGTGGAACAGGCACTTTGCTGGCACCTGCACGCGGATTCGTGTTGTGCAGGCTCCCGGTGCCAAGCACCGCACAGCAAGTCGACTGATCAAAGGCCATCAGTCAGGAAAGTGCCGTGGCTGCACGATCTCCAAATTGAAGGAGATCGGTTGCACCTGCACGATGACTTAATCTTGCGATGCTGCGATGCTTTTCAGCGCTCCCAGGCCGGCCAGGGACCACCAGGTCTACGCCGTGCAACCTATGCATGCGGCTCTTGGAAGGGAAGAGAGCAACAAGCACCTTCAAAGATTTCAAACGGCCATGCCCTCAACAATACATCCAACATTTTGGCAGGGTTGTTCTGCCTTGTCCTCACAAATCAAGGAAGCACCGTGCGACCTACACAGCTGAATGCCCGCAGGAACCTCACAGAATGCGGAGCTTTGTTGCATGCATGCATTTCATTCCTGCATGAGGGGCAGCAGTTCACCAGTGTGCCAGTGGGAACCTGTTGTGATCGTGACCAGGTGGTTCTCCACCTCCTCACAGTTTGCGAGAAGGACGTACAAAAAACATCTCAGGTTTGACCTCAAAGAAGTGATAGGCTCAGGGCTTAGCCTTAGCCAATAACTTTTGGCAAGCCAACGTCTCGCAGGAGTGACTGGCGTCCATGCGGTTGCCAGACAACTCTTAGCTGCAGCCAAAGTGAAGGTTCTTGGCCGCTGTTTTGTAAGAGCAGGCTAGTGACGGCTAGTGCCCTGCCTGTCAGGAAGTTGTGCACATCGATCTTCAGCAGCCAGTCACCAGTTTGTTCTCTCCGTCTCAGTCTTCAGTGCGCCACGGAAATATGTCCCCCTTGTGCAAGCTTGATTCTGTTTGATCTGAGGTCTCCTCGAAGTTACCCTCGCCAGCAAGCCCTTCTTCTCCTACACTCCGGCATGGAGATGCTCGGAAGCAGTCGTTGCAGCCCTCAAAGGGCGGCAATCGCATGAGGATCGCAGTTTTTGGCGAGGACGTTTATGCGCAAGCTTTGGAGCACGAGGAGGCTTGAGGGAATGCTCTGTGAGAATTTCTTGTTTGGGCTTGGAAATGGGTGTGCTCATCGTACAAGGGCCCCCTTTTTTTACATTGCTGTGACTGTCATGTTGACAACCACAACCATGTAGTCTTCATTCTGTAAGACTGCAAGTAAACCGAAAGCTTCTATCGGAAATGGGCTTTTGGAGATTTGGATCGTGTATGTATACATATATATATATGATATATGTATGTAAAGTTTCAGGGGCGCCTGGAGCCTGCTGTTCAGGTCTTGCGGGAGCTGGCCGAACTGAAGAGCAGTTTTCAGGCCGCAGCCATGTTGCCAGTCGCAGGAAGGAGTCACACTCAAACATTATGTCCTTTTTCTCGTTCGTCGCTGCATTGATAATTTGCGCTACCTGCCGCAGTGCTTCGTCCTGCATACATGCCTTTTGAATCACAGTAGAGCTTTCATTGTCCATGAACCTTTGCTCTTCCCTGGCATTGCCTCGCTTTCAAAGCTCGACCGAGAAGCCATATGAGTTCAAAAGACTCCATTGCAAACACTGGCTTTTGCCGCAGCTAGGTCGTTTTCTAACATTTTTGCCTGCTCTCTCATCGTTTCCCGTTGCAAGAATTGGTCAGACCTCAGAAAAAGTTCAATGAAACAATGCCGCAAAGGGACCAAATCACAGAACACAACCTGTTTGACATGACAAGGCCGTGCATGGCCTGTTTGCGGCAAATTGGCCGGCTGCGTTTGAAGGTGTGCTGAGAACTTCCCTCACAATGCCAGGGAAAAACTATCCATATCTGGCAATCCAGGTGCAGAGATTTTGCAACAGCTATTCGCAACGGCAGCTCCGCTATGCCTTCCAAGACCTTAAGCTCAGCGAAGCGGAGGATCTGGAGCTCAGCGGTGCAGCTGAGGTGATGCTTGACCATGAGGATCGAGCAGGGCGTCGAGTGGCACCGAGTGAGCATAGTCGAATGCCTTCAGAGGTCAGTTTGCGAACAGGCGCAGGCTTTGAAGGCGGAAGTTTTCATCTTGGCTTTCAGACCCTTTTCTCCATAGTAGCTGTGCACCTTCGACATGCGATCAGACGCTGGGCAACATTTTCGCGTCGAAAGCATTTTGAGGAGAGGCAATCTCAGGTCGTGCACGCTCTACGGAATGTCCAAGCAGAGATGGATAACAAGATGAAACAGCAACCGGCTTCCAGCAATGCGCTAAGCCCAGCTAGTGAGGTGTCCCCGTCGGCTGCATACTCACCCAACTTTGCAGAATCCGTTACATCGACACCACACTTTAGACGGCTGGACGTGGGCCATATGAATGTTGTAACCCAGGGGCATGCCACCCACTTCACCAAAAAAACTCAGGACTCACCCGGACTTCATAGTGATGACTTAGTGAAGTCCCTATGTGAAGATCAAGCTCGAGTAGATGAGGTGATCAAGTTGGCCGCGATCCTGTGGGACAACCTAAGCCTTGCAAACATGCAGCCAAACATTCTCCCGCAAGTCCTGATGAAGGCATCCCTTTTGGCTCGCACTGCTGAACGATGCCAGCGCCATGTCATGCGAGAAGCCATGCATTTGCTGTGGAAGAGTTCCACTCTTCAACGGTCGGTGGAAGAACTTTTGGCCAAGGGAGAGCTGATGAAGTGCAACAATTCTAGAAGCTCTGAGGCTGTGCCACAGCATGTGTCACATTCGCATGTGCCACAGGTGCAACAACATATTGACTTCCATGTGACCGATGATGTGCCACAAGAGGATTTGGCGGAACCCTCTGACCCGGTGCGTGAAGAGTTGGCTCGGGAGGTGCAAGAGGACTTTGAGACCTCAAAGCCCAAAGTGCACGAGGAAGGTGAAGAACTACAAAGTACAGTAGGAGCTTCTGCAGGTTGGGATGCCTTGGCCACGGCTGTGACTTCCCATGCTCCACCGCCCGCCCATGCCATGGAGGATGCGCATCCCAAAGAGAGCAAAGCTAATGCAGAGGCAGACTTTGTTGTGACCCAACCCATAGCAACAGCACCAGACAGGAGTACTGGGCCTCATGTGGCATATGCGGCTGAAAGTGAGCTGAATTCTGATGAGTCGGATGCAGAAGAGTCTGATATTGATGATGATGCTTTGCTTGCAGGTTTGGGATAGCTTCCAAGAGGCCATGGCCAGATTTCCTGTGTAGAGCTGAGCGTATTGGGATCCGCTTCCAACGATGAAAATAGGTGCACGTAGATGAAGCTCCTCTATGAACAGATTTTGGTGGACAGTCTGGAGCGGAAACCCAAACGAACTGCCTGACTGCCAATGTACCCATTTCACAAGCCAGAAATCCCCAGACAATGCTGCGGAAGATGTGATGTTGCTTGGGTGCGGGCTGTGCAAAAAGCACAGGTCCAATCATCGATCTGAAGCCAAGGAGCAAGAAACTACTAGGGGCTCCTGGCCTTACTACTAGGTGCAAGAAGCTACTAGTATGTGCGTTGGCCCTTTGAGCCAACGGGGTTGGGAATGTCGAGGGTCCATGGAATCGCTTGTGATGTCGGCCGGGGAGGCTCCTCCGCGAGTCGTCTCGGTCGTTTCGGTCAGCCAGGAGCGGGAGGCTCGGGAGGCTGAGTTGGTGCAGCAGGTGAAGAGCCTTCACGAAAAGTTGGCGGTGGCCAACGGTGCCCGGAAAGCTGCTGAGGCAGAAGCTCAACGTTTGGGAGGCACAACTGATGGCTTCTCTTGGGTGAAAGAGGGCAGAGGAAAAGAGGTAGAGGATGTGCAGTATATATATACATGTATGTATATATATATATATATGTAGTAGATCAGTATTACAGAAGTGTAGGTCTTGTCTTGTCTTGTTTTGTCATTTCAGTCAAAGTCCGTTGCCATACTCTTGAGCTATTGTTTGAGAAGCTTTGCAAGGTGAGCTGGCCCGGGAACGAGGCAGGGAAGCAGCTCCCAGATTCGCGGAAGAGATGAGCGGCTCCCAGATTTGCACAGATGCCCCAACAATCGAAATTGAACTCCCCCCCACTCCATAGATCCCACCAAGCTTTTGCACTGAGGACGAGACACGGAGAAGAGATTGCCACGCTGCAGCACAAGCTGTCGTCGTCTGAGAGGACATCCGCGGGGTTGGTGTTGCACACCCGACATTTGGAGGAACAAGTTGAGAATCAGCAGCGGCAGTTGGCGGAATTTGCCACTGCAGTGCGGTCCGAGTTGGATCGAGTCTGGGCAAATATGCCCCAAAGTGATGGAGTTGCAACGACACCTCCACACAGAGCTGTAGCTGAAACTACTGAAGCTGCTGCTGTCGCTCCTCGGCCGTCAGATGCAACTGCAAATGCAGTCCTGCGAAGCATCTACTCGGCAATTTCTGAGCTGCCTTGAAGAGCTGCCAAAGCCAACGGCAAAGGCCAGAAAAGAAGGTGCGCTGACTTGACTGTGTGGCGCTGTGCAGTGTGGATTGATTGGAAAGTCCTTCACTCAGGGTCTTGGCTCCAAGGCCATCGTCTCATCACCTCTCCTCGCATGGCACACGATGGAGGTTCGTCTCCGGTAGAGCCGTTGGTATAGGGAAAGCTTCATGGAACATTGCGACAAGTCTTGGACTGCACAACCCCTTTCTGCTACAAACATGAATGCTCTTTTGGCAACCCATGTTCCTTTGTTACTAGTAGCGAACCTTGTTCCCAGTAGTAAGGCCGGGAGCCCCTAGTAGCGTTTTGGCTCCTAGTAGCGATGCCCTTTGTTCCTAGTAGCGTCTTTGCACATTGGATCCCGGCTCCCCGGGCTGGGTTTCTGGGCCCCCTGGACTCTCTGGGCTCCCTTGCCCCGCCAGGGTCACTCCGGGTGGCTTCGCCGACTGTCTATGCCTCGCTGGCTCAACTTGCTGGCGCCGCAGTGGGTCGCTACCTAAGGAGGTCTCGGTGTTTGTGGCCGCGGTGATGCTTTGATGTGTGATGTGTGCCACCACCTCAGGTTCGCGTGTCACCCTGCCAGTGCCGAGGCTCCGGTTTTCCCGTGGCTGGGAATGTGACTGACTGTGGTTTGCAGTCAGTAGAAATTTAGCCTTTTGTTTCTGAACGGCGCCCTGATGGGAACAACATGATGCAACCAACTTGCCCACATGCTTTGCTGAAAGCTTGGGGGCATCATTTGCAGCAGGCCAAGTTCTCCTCATGCTAGTCCCAGGGGCCTGGTTCTCAGGGGCTACTCAGCAAGATTCATGGTCATTGAGGACCCTTTATATAACTATTACAGGGCAGTTGAGTCCAAGACCTATCGCGCATTGTTGTGACAGAGTGTCTTAGAGGGTAGGCTGCGTGTTGGCTCGAGCCAGATGAGATGGGCAGGTCAACTTGAGGGTGTCTTGAATGGCAGAACCCAGTGGGCACTTCTTCACAGAAGATGCTGCAAGAAGGCTGTAGCCTGTTGAAACGTTCTCAGCTTGAAGGTAGATGGCTCCAACCGCGCGAGAGTCCGAGCGGTACAATCCTTTGCGAAAGCTTCGTATCATTTGGCTGAGTTTGCAACACCTGTGTGCTGCTTGACGATGCACGAAGTTATATTTTTTCTAGTCGGAGTACTGACGAGAGCAATGATAATGTCCTGAAAGCGTGCAGTTGAGGTTTTGGACAAGGTGTTCCTTTCAGTGCTTTTCCCCTTTGAACTTGTGGCCTGGCTCTTCGAGCTCTCCACGGCTTCTGCAGCTCTTTGGCTCACATACCAACACCTTGTGAGCATGCTTCTTTTCCGCTTCTACTTTGGAGAGTTGAGCATAAGAGATCCGCACAACGTGCTTACGGGGAAGCTTGGCCACAGGTTAATCTTTTGCTCGAATCATCCTACTGGACTTCTTGATCGGCTGCTCATCCAGTACGTCTCTCCCTTCCCCTGCTTTTGCTTGACCCAAAACTGGTTCGAGAAGCTCGTCCTGTTTTTGTGGCACTGGTGTCAGAGTAGATGGCACAACCCCCAAGATGTATTTTAGATGGGGGTCCATGTGTATAGACAATTTTTTGGGATTGTGCCATCTACACTCAATCCTCTATAGTTTGTTTGATGCAATTTGGGGAAGATATGCCACCTATCTACAAATCCGATGCTATATTCCACATCCAGATGTAAGGTATACCAACTACTTGGAGATGTGTCTTCACATCACGCAAGGTATGTCTTTTGACCACATTGTGGAACGCCTGAGGGCAGGTACTGCCATCTGGGTGGCTGTGGGTGGCGCTCGAGAAATGCATCCCCACATTCGGAAGGTGCACACTGGACCGGTGCGGATTGCGATGCAGTGCGGCGACGTTTGGTTGGTGCCAATCCACTTGGCTTTCGAAGCTCACTGCCAGGTTGGGACAGCAGTGCTGGTGGAGGTAGGTGAGCCTTGGAAGATTGCCAGGGAGGACCCGACTTCCATTCATGGTCGCGAAATGGTCCGAGCTTTGACGAAAGTTTTGGAAGAGAGGTTGCTACCCTTGACCAATTGGATGCCTGTCAGCCAGGATGACTTCGGAAAAAAGGGATGGAGGGGTGCTGGTGAGACTAGGGTGGCAATTGTTGAATGGTCCAAGGTTCGTGTCATCGATTCGTTGATATGCCTCCAGCTGGTAGCGCAGGGCAGAACTATCGCATGGGCAGAACGGTTGGGCCGCGTCCGGCAAGCGGTGCAACGCACCATGGAGCACCCCAAAGAGAATGGGCTGGAGCAGACAATGCTAGCTTTTCGAGACTTTGCTGAAGCCGCTGCCCGTCATGGAGTCAAGGTATTTCAGCCTCCTACTGGAACTTACTGGGATGTGCCGGTTCTTTTGAAGGCGGTCCCCCGCACGAATCCTGCAGACACCGGTGGTCCCTGGAGGCTGCCTGCGTTGCGGAATTTTTCGCATGGCTTGCACATCTACAGCTCCTCAGCTCTAAACAGAGAAGACGATTCTGGGCTCAATGTGGCCTTCAGGAATCTCATGGAGGCCTCTAAGCCTCTCATGGCTTTGATCAACAGTGATGAGACAAAAAGAGATCAGCAACCATGAGGACCCTGCGGGAGGTGCTTTGCAGGTAAAGGCCATGATTTTATTGGCTGACAGGGGTCGCATTCTTGGGTGGAAGTGTTGATCCTGCTCGGATGCATTTTGGAGGTTGGTGACCGACCCTTCACATACCCAGGGTAGTACTTGCTCTTGACCTTGGCTCCTTCCTCTCATCCTGATGATTTTTACTTTATGTATTTTTTTCAGTTTGATAGCTCTTTTCCCTAAATGGAGGTTGTCGTTCTGTGTCTTGTGATGTTTCCCTCCACATGTGGCTTCTCGTCTGTCGTGCGAAAGTCTAACTGATTTCTGGCAGCCTGCGCCACCCGTGGCGAGAAGGCTGATCCCAGAAAATTGCTGCGAGTCGGGATTTCCTCACACCTGGCCTGGTTTCACAGAATCATATTGTCACTTGAGTTTCATCACCCGGTTGACCACCAAGGCCGGGTGGTGGTTAGCCCTGTACGAGGGCAGCTGGTGAGAGCGCACAGCCCTCATTGGGTGCTGAGCCAACCTTCAATGGCCAGTATTGCCACAAGTGCCTTGGCAAACTTGAGAAAGGTGAAACGTTTCAGATGAGCCTGGTGAACCGTGTTAGACCGCATGGATCTTGCATGGACAGGTGTTCTGCAAGCTGTGAAGCTATTTTAGGAGCAAGTGGAGCAAATTAAGCTGTAGCAATACCTTTGGGGGGTATGTAGTGAAAACCAAGGTGCTTTGAACAGTGGACGGTGTGGCCAACCTGCCCCGGTGGCAGGCGTGGATTGGGACAGTATGTGATCCGCTCCGCAAGATTGTTTCAGGCCCTTGTTCTCAGTAGATACTTCAACATGTATTTGGGCGCGAGTTCTCGAAAGGCTTGATTCTTGACGTTGGATTTCAACTTGCAGCTTCTGGGGGGATTTGATCTGTGAAGTGGAGGCATCAAATTTGTGAAGTTCGGTTGTAGCCACGGCCAAGGTGGCTTCGCGCCGCAAGTGCGGGTCAGCCCGGTGAGATGGGTCGCATCTCCCCGGACGTCACCTGTGCGATGTGCCGCCGCACCAAATCCAACCGGAACGATCCTTCCGACCGTTGCGAGTCTACCATCTCAGATACTTCGCTCAACAGGCGTGCCCAGAGCACCTTCTCCTGTGAGTCCTGTCAGGGCAGCGGCCATGCAGCAGATGTATGCACCCTTGGCCCGCAGATCCCCACGCCACTCCCGAGCACAAGCACCACAAGCAGCTCCGCAGCCTCAAGCCGCTCAAGCCCAAGCGTTGCAAGCTGCCCCAGCTGTGCCAGCCGCTCCAGTTCCAGCCACAGCTCCGGCAACAGCTTCCACCGCACCAGCATCGGCCGCTCCAGCTGTTTCGGCTCCACCTGCAGCCCCTTCACTTGCTCCCGTGTCAGCAGCTCCAGCTGCAGCCGCGCCTCCTGTAGCCTGGCCGACCTAAGTGTGGGTGCAGAAGCCATGGCACCAAGGGGTGAGATGTATTTGTCCACATTTTGACAAACATTTGACATTTGACAAACATTTTGCCCCCTTGGAGTCTGCCATTAAGGCAATTTTTGTGGCACGCTGGCACCCACAAGTCTCAATGCCGTTAGTTTCTCAGCCCATTCTGATGATGGACAGGCGGGGAAGAAGTAAGTCAGGATTGCTCAAGTGAGGTCATGAAAACACAAAAGCTTCCCCTTGTCAAAGAACATAGAGAATCCGCCATAAGCATGTGGGTTGCCGAAAATGGTTGGAGCCAGCTGCAAGGCGATCCCCGTCACCGTTCACGAGGCTGCCTCGTTGCCAGTGTCGCCAATTCACAAGCAAATTTGTTCACGGATCTGTGCCGCAGTGCGTGTCAAGGCTAGTAATAAGACAGGGCGACACTCTTCAGATAAGACGGTGTTGCGGTTTGATGAGTAGTTCTTTCGTTTCTGTGAGAAATTGCAGGGTTGCCAGGTCACTAAACACAAGTGGCTGCAGTCAGAAGCGGAATCCACAAAGACTTGACTGACTAGTCTTGATGAATTAGTGCTGTGTTCATCAAACTGACTTCCGATGCCATGCCGAGGGTGCGAGCTTGGCATTTGTTAGTCCTATCTTTGGGGTTCCTGTTCTGGGGGGACTTGTTTGCATGTGTTCGACGGCGAAAAGTGCCAAAGATCCCCAAAGAACAGGATGGTTTCAGGAGCACTTCTTCCATGTCCACTGAGGGGCCCATGCTCCCCTGGGATGTGGCTATGCAACAGGTAGAGGACAACAGCAATTTGACAGGAGAAGGTGATGCGTGGCTGTTTACTTCTCGCGAAGCTGCCGCCCAAGACATGCTGCTGGGGCCAGGGGGTGTGCTCCAAGTGGCCGCGGATCCAGTTTCTGAAGTGAAGCGGGAAGGGGTGGCCGTGGTGGCTGATGTTTTGTCGCGCCAATCGGTGCAGGACATGTGCAACTATGTGGCTCAAGAGCTATCCAAGTCGAAGGCTGCAGTGGAAGCAGACCCCTGCACGAAGTATTTGCACTTCTCGAGGCATATTAGGCAGACACGCGCTACAAACCTGACACCTCAAAGTAGGTGGGAGCTGCTGCTGCCTCATTGCCATTTGACGGCAAAGGTGTTGGTGGAGCTTCTTCAAGGTCCTATGGGCTCCGCTTTGGCCGAGCTCGCTGGCCCAGATGCAGAGCTTTGGGAGTTTACTTCCTTGATTGCTGGGCCTGGAGCTGTGGCACAGGAACTGCACTGCGACGTGAGCTCGTTTCATCCCGCACTTTTCACGGCCTTCGTGGCGCTGCAAGATGTGGACCGCGACATGGGTCCCACGCGATTTGTGCCTGAGACGCACATGAATTCAGCACACCGGCGATTTTCAGCTGACAAGTCTGGCTTTCTGAACACAGTAACTTCAAGCCTAGCACTCCTGAAAGCAGGGGATGCAGTGCTGTACGACAGCCGCGTGTTGCATTGCGGGACTGGAAACATATCAAAGAAACCACGGTATCTTCTAGTTGTAACACTTCGCCACCAGCACGATACTGTGGTGAAGGTTGAGACCCGCAAGACCCAAAGGGCCTTTGTCGATAGAGTGACATTGGCAGACTTTCGACCACAAACGGAGAAAAGACGCCTGTATTTGCAGTCACTCTATTGATAATACCTCGCTTGTGGACTCTGAGAACTCATCCAGCCAAGCTGCCAAGCTGCCAGGCTGAGTTATCAGATCTCGCGCAATGCAAGTCCTGCACGACCAGCTGTGGCAAGTCCTCCCAAACAAGCTGCAGCTGGCACTCCCCAACAGGCTACCATGCACATGACACAGTCACAGCCCGGCGATTCGTGCCTTGATGTGTCAACAAGAGACTTCATCTTCTAAAAGTTGAGTTGAATAGGTGATGAATTGTGAATGTTTGCGCTCCAGTTTTGAAAGATGGTAGGGGAGAAGTGGGGACGGAGGGAGGCCGATCAGAGGTCGGTTCGACGTCGAAGCCTGAGGCCCATCTCCACGGCTACTGTTCTGCCAGTACCATTGTCCACACCTGCTTTGAGTGACCGAACTACGAGCCCGGTGCCTGTGACGTATCAGTTCAGACAGGGTGGCCAGCCTGTGGTGTTTGGTGGCCACGAAAGAGTTCGACCGCTCAAGGGTGACAAATTGGCCGAAACAGCGCGGGCTTCCCTTTGGACCTATCAGAAAGACACATTCTTGAGCCAAAGCATGGCTAATCCTCAAACCGCTGTAGCCCAAGTAGAGGACAGTCCTCTGCCAGATCCACTACTCACTGCACACGGCTCTCCGTGTGCAATGGCGCGTACACCAGACCCACCATCATCACGGAAGCTGAGCTCAGTCCTGGAATCTCAACCAAGCTTGGCTTCGACTTTTCTGGGCCGTGACAGCCCGCCGCAGTACACCTCGGCAAAGCTGCTTCGAACCTCTTCCAGCAAGCGCTCCCGAGGCATGTCACCTGGCCCACCCTGTGTGGTGCGGCCACCTAGTCCCAAAGATCCGAGTCACAAATCAGTAAATCAGCACGTTCTGCAAGACTTGCAAGCTGGCGGTGCAAAAGCAGGGGCGGCTAACGTTGTACTAGCACTGTTTGAGCTATTTTGCACTGCCCTTGCAGACGCGACCATCATTGAGCAAGTCTGTGGACAGCTGACCAGCCAGAAGGGCAAGGACGAGTTGCGTTGGGATGATTTAGTTGTCCTGCGTCCATTGCAGACGCTAGCGCAAAGAATTGCATCTTTGCTGCCTGGCTCCGGGCAACTGAAGGATGAAGCGTTTTGGCAAATTCTTGGAAATGAAGAGGCCTACATGCCATGGTGGAAGGCGCTGATGGCGCGCTATGGCCTTCATTGCTCCGGGGATTCGCTGGCGAATCTCCAGCTGCTGGATTTGATCACATTGGCCTGTCGCCTTCTTCGGGACTCCTTCGCTCCAGACTCCTATCTCAGAAACCTTCGCACGGTTCGACTGGGGGCACATCGTCTTGGAGAACGTTGCTTGGCGCCATGAGTTGGCCAGGCTCGTGCAATCTGCACAACAATCATGCGTCCTTCCATCCTTCCTATCCATCACAACCTGGCTTGTGGAATTGCAAGAACAAAGGCCTTGCAGACCCATCAAGGTTTGTAGAACTTAGGTTACGAAGACTTTCAGCTCCTCTCTTCCCATCGCCTGGGACGGAGCTACCGCTGCCGGGGCCGTGGCCCGGCAAACAGTCGCCGTGCGCTTGAAGCGCCAGAGGAGAAGTCTCAAGGTCTCAAAGCACAGAGGGGAGAGGGGAAGTACATTAACGTGGAAAGCCATTGGTTCAAGGTCTGCCTCATTTTTGGGCTGGGTGTTTTTTTTTTTTAAAAGGTTTTTTTCTTATGCTCGCAGCGGGGTTGGTGTGCTTTTGGGGTATGGGTTTCTTTTTTTATGCTTATAGTGCTTTTTTTTATGCTAATGGTTTTTTCTGTTATGCTTGCAGTTCTTTCTTTTATGCTCCTGGTTTCTTTTTTTATGCTAATGGTTTCTTTTTTTATGCTAAGGGTTCTTTTTTTTATGCGGCACTGTGGGAAGAGGTCACGTTGGGGGGTCCTAGTGCAGAATGTAATTGTCAGGAGGGTTTAGTGCAGAATGTAATTGTCGGGAGGCTTTAGTACAGAATGTAATTGTCGGGAGGTTTTAGTACAGAAAGTAATTTTCGAGAGGTTTTAGTACAGCAAGTAATTGTCGGGAGGTTTGAGTACAGAAAGTAATTGTCGGGAGGTTTTAGTACAGAAAGTAATTGTCGGGAGGTTTTAGTACAAAACGTAATTGTCGGGGGGGCTTTGGTACCGAATGTAATCGTCGGGGAGTTTTAGTACAGAATTAAATGTCGGGGGCCTTTAGTATCGAATGTAAGCGTCGGGGTGTTACCGAATGGACAATTATTCATGAACGAACCGTTCAGTGAAAGGTGATGCATTCGTCAGCAGAAACCGAAAAGTGATGAGTTCCAGTATCAACTGATATCAATTGTTTAAATGAACGGTAGAAATGTGGCCAAATGGGCTCCAGTCAGATATCAGGGTCGCTTCGTGCGGTGTCTGTGTCGGTCCGTCCGGCATGGGTGGGCAGTGATCAAGCTCCTCTCTCGTTGGATCTCCTCGCTGGAGTTTTTTGGTTTCCGCCAGCAAAGAAGTTTTCATCGGGGAAGAGTTTGCATGTCACCATCCAAGAAAAGACGCGACTTCCACAGAGCCTCTGCTCATGCCACGCGTCAGAATGCTTCCGATCGAAAACAGGGCCGTTCTTCTGCCAGCCGTTGTTCTTCCCGACGCAGAAGGGCTTTGTGGCTGCCATGGAGGGCAGATGGCCATTCCACCATTCCATCAGACAAGGTTTGGTTGTTCTACCGTCTCGCCCTTGCCGCCAAAACTGGAACTGGAGTGTTGGGTGAATTTCTTTGCAATTCCTTGCCTGTGCAGCCGCCGGTCAGAACTCGGCAACGAGATGTTTTTCCCTTGGCCCCGCTTGGTGGTAGCATGCTGAAGCCTGTAGACATGACAAGTGGCAGGTGGAGCGTGCTCCTCCAATTCATCAACGTGGTCATTGGCATTCTGAACTGGTTGCACGGCATAAAGCAGACAGTGCCGACTGGCAAGCACACGTTCGCTCAACAAGCAGTTTTGCAAAACATCGTGGATCGCACAGTGTGGACACTCACACGCCTGCAACATGCGCAAGATGGCTGGGAGCGGTTTGTGCCAGATTTTGTGCCAGGTTTCACTGCAGGTACAACTTCTTTCCAAGACTTGGTTGCTGACAGGGTGGACAACTTGCAAGCGGCTGGCTTATGCGATCCTTTGCCCCACTTGCCAGCCCATGTGCGGGCCAGCTTGGCAACACCTGAAGGAATCCTTGACAACAGCGATGATTCTTTGCGTGTTTTTGAATCTTTCTCCTTAAGGGCCCGAAAGAGGAATATGCAAAATTGGTTGTCAAGCAGCTGCGGTGTGGTAAGTTGAGTTTAGCAACTTTTTGCAAGGGTGGTGGTACCACTTTCGCTGTTGGGAAGCCTGGGGGTGAACGCCTGAGGGAGGTATGGCACGGCCGACGTGTTTCAGAATCAGCTTCTGCACCTCCAAAGCCGAGACACTTGGCTTCCCCAACTGCGTTGACCTTTCTGGAGTGCAGCGATGGAAGACCACTACGCCTTAGCAAGCGCGATGCTACGTGTTGGTTTGACCAGTTGAAGCTTCCCAGCTCTCTTCGTCGATACATGGCCAAACCGCCCATCTCCACAGTGGAACTTGTCAATGCTGGAATGTCAGTGGCGGATCAGCGGCAGCACATGGAAGATGGACATGCTTGGCGCGAAGGTTTGCTATATCCTTTGCACTGCGTCTGGCCTATGGGATTTTCTTGGTCTTCTTACATAGCCCAAGAAGAGATGCTGAGTGTTTGTCAAGATGCTGGCATACCAACTTCATCTCTCTTGGCTTGTGATTGCGTGACACCTACATCGTTTGAGCTTGTTGCTGCGGTGGCCACCGATGATGTCATGATTTTCAGCGACGCTGGCCCTGGTGCCACCTGTGAAGCAGCAAGAGCTTTCGATGCAGCTATGGATGCACGATGCGCAGTCCGAAATCTTAAGAAGGACGTTGACGACGCGCTCTGTGGTACCTGTGTTGGGGTTGACTTAGTAGATGGATACTTTCTGGATGTGCCGGGGGGACGCTACTTGGCCATGATTCTGACAAATTGAAGCTTGAGCACTTTTCCGACATCTTCAGTGTTCGCTCCAAATTTCATGCACACATCAACGTCCTGGAAGGTGAGGCATTCGTGCTTTTCTTGAAGTGGCTTCTGCGGTCCACCAAGCACCAAAATTTAGAGAAGGATGTTGCCATTTCAACTTGACCCACCCTTTTGTGGGCAAGGCAGGGGTAAAATTTAGAGAAGGAAGTGGTCATTCCAAGTTGACTCACCCGAGGGTAAAATTTAGAGAAGGATGTTGCCATTTCAACTTGACT